GTTAATAGGTGTCCCTCACCCCCATCTCAAAAAGTTGGGAGGTATGGTGGAGGCTAGTTAGTCAATGGAGTTCTTTAGTTCCATGGTACCTTGCTTCCTGCAGGCACTGATTCCAGTACTGACTCCGCCTCCTCAAACTTCTCCTCTCCTCTGTAGTTCAGAAGGTAGACTCTATGAAATGTGTGACACAGCAGTGCCTACCCACAGGACATAGTGAATACATATGTGTTGCAGAATTCAAGGAAGTAAATATTCACACAGTAAATTTACAAACTTCAGGAGCATTCAGATAAATAAGAGTAATCTAGAAATAATTGAAATATAATGTGGAAATGAATATACACTCACTGGCCTACCTTAGCTTTACACAGGCTATCCCTACAAACACGTAATGCATGCAGAGTTAGCAGAGCCTTATACAAGCTTTCTATGATACATTTTAATTTTTCACTGATTCACTGAAAAATAATTTAAAGTGAATCTATCAGCAGGTTAGCCCAGGGGACAATTTTTATATCTTGAAGCAGTGGTGTCTTCTGGGGCACCTTACTCCTTACCACTTAGTTAGAAAATCATCCAGGGAATGAGTGTACATAGTGTGACAGCCCAACCTGCCTCCAAGTCTGACTGTCAGACTGTGAACACTGACTCCCCAGCTGGATTCCATTTTATGCAACAGTTCTGAGTGCAGCAAACCAGCATGGGAGACACCAAAGCTCCCAGCAGAATTAGGTTTCCTCAAGGCTAATGGGATAACCCATTTCTAGATCTCTGCTGTACATAAGTCCACAAGAACTATATCATAAGGTCAAATCCAAACAGCACAATACTTTCTAACAAGTTCATCTTTAAAAAGATGACGGCTATCAGTGGGAAATTTATCTTCAGGAGTTCACCTGGCAAATAAAATAATGAAACCTGCAAAGTGGCAGCCAATCTGGTTTGCTTACTATGCTATAGTCATATGGTATATGGATGGACACGTGGCATAAACTGTATGCTATTTTCCTCAGTATCAAGGTAAAAAAATAATGGGTGGCAGGGATTTTAAAGGGCACAACACAGACAATTGTAAAATTATATAATTGCTTTATTGAACATATAAAAATATGTATAAAGGAAACACAGACTAAGAACCAGTGAAATATATACCAATAGATCAAGAAGTGCTCAATAGCCCTCAAAAGCATTCATGCAGGTTTTATGTGCTCTGTTTTTCTGTGTTCTGGTTTTAAATGGACTTTGCGGGCACTTAGCTCTGAACTGGCCCCTTTTGATCCAAATGCCTATTTTTTTCATTCAATAAATCAACAACAAGAGAATGAAGGCAGTCCAGCTAATTATCTCAGCAAACCTTTTCAGTCTTGGTACAATTCTTAAGAGATTGTTAATTGGCGACAGAAGAAGTGATTGTCCTTAACGTGGGTAATTTCAGAAAGCTGTTATGCCAATGTGATATGTATAGAATTCATACACCGTGATTGCTAAATTCAGTATGTTAGAAAAGTATTTTGTATTCTACAATGTCCTGACTATCTTCTCAAATGAGTTGTGTAGGCATTGTGTATACATTTAGCTAGCTGCTTGATTAATTTCTTGTGTTTACTGAACTGTCTGCCCTTCAGGGGCATATTTTAGGTTTTAAACGCAGAGAAGAGAAATACACATTACCTAAAACAGGTCCTGTATTTCTGATTTCTTTTTTTATTGGTTTCACAATAGCGGTACAAGTATAAGGCACAAAGTGAAGAGGCCACACAGAGCAATACAATCGACTCTTCATTAATAAAGATCTGAGCCTCAGGCTATACAGTATACCTCATCAAATTTGAGCATCTGGTATATCTAAACTGTGTCACATTTAGGAAAGGGGACAGTCCTGCAAAGGGATAGAGCCCCAGGGTATGTGAGTTCTACATACACTGATGTGGTCCTGCAGTAAGTCAAAGGGTTTCCCATATCACCAAATTACTAAGGGAGGGAGAATCAAAGAGCCTGTTGGATGTCCAGGGAGGCCAGCTCCAACCTTTATGTTCCTGCAGCAAACCATTGAGATAGAAAATAATGTATGAGCATTATGCGGGAGCAAAAATCCCCCCCCCCAAAAAAAAAAAAAAATAAAATAAAGCACTAATCTGCATGCTAACCCCCTAAGCATATATTGCAATCTTTGCAATCCATAATTCTCACCACATAAAAATTCCACCTCCTCCCAGTACAAATATATCCTTCCCCCCACTGAAATCCCCCTCCCAGCACAAATCTTTGCCTCTCAGGGTACCCTTATATGCCCCTATCTATACATGCAGGAGTGCTGAAGTGGCAGGAGGAAGAGCTGGAGGGGAGAGAGAGCCAAGCCCGCACCTCCTCCCACCTTTCATCTGCTCTTCTGATTCCATTTGTCACTTAAGCTGACAAGAGTAGTGATGCTGCTGTCTCTACTCCTTTTCAACTTGTAGCTGCAGGAACTCTCCATGCAGAACCCCCCCCCCCCACTTCACACGGTACCAGAGCGCATTTGATCCAAATGCAGGGCAGCCGCCCCTCCTGCCCATACCTTGACCCAGCCCTGCCTGCCTGCCATATCACAAGAACGATGCACTCGTAAGTAGTTGATGTCTGAAGGGGATAGACAGCTTCTACCTTACCTTAAAGGAAGCATGAAGGTTAGGTGCACTACAACTATGAATGTAAAAAAAGCCTGTATACGGTGCCTTGAAAAAGTATTCATACCCCTTGAAATTTTCCACATTTTGCCATGTTACAACCAACAACGTAAATGTATTTTATGGGGATTTTATGTGCCACAAAGTGGCACATAATTGTGAAGTGAAAGGAAATGATAAATGGTTTTCAAAATATTTTACAAATAAATATCTGAAAAGTGTGGTGTGCTTTTGTTTTCAGCCCCCTTTACTCTGATACCCCTAACTAAAATCTAGTGGAACCAATTACCTTCAGAAGTCACCTAATTAGTAAATAGAGTCCACCTGTGTGTAATTTAATCTCAGTATAAATACAGCTGTTCTATGAAGCCCTCAGAGGTTTGCTAGAGAAACATTAGTGAACAAACAGCATCATGAAGGCAAAGGAACACACCAGACAGGTCAGGGATAAAGTTGTGGATAAGCTTAAAGCAGGGCCAGGTTATAAAAAAAATATCCCAAGCTTTGAACTTCTCACGGAGTACTGTTCAATCCATCATCCGAAAATAGAAAGAGTACGGCACAACTGCAAACCTACCAAGATATGGCCGTCCACCTAAACTGACAGGCCAGGCAAGAAGAGCATTAATCAGAGAAGCAGCCAAAAGGCCTATGGTAACTCTGGAGGAGCTGCAGAGATCCACAGCTCAGGAAGGAGAATTTGTCTACGGGACAACTATTAGTCGTGCACTCCACAAATCTGGCCTTTATGGAAGAGTGGCAAGAAGAAAGCCATTGTTCACTTTCCAGCAGGACAATGACCCTATACATACAGCCAGATCTACAATGGAATGGTTTAGATCAAAGATCATGTATTAGAATGGCCCAGTCAAAGTCCAGACCTAAATCCAATTGAGAATCTGTGGCAAGACTGATCCAATCTGACAGAGCTTGAAATATTTTGCAAAGAAGAATGTGCAAAAATGTCCCTCTGTAGATGTACAAAGTTGGTAGAGACATCCTCAAAAAAGACTTGCAGCTGGAATTGCAGTGAAAGGTGGTTCTACAAAGTATTGACTCCGGGGGGCTGAATACACCACACTTTTCACATATTTATTTGTAAAAAATTTTGAAAACCATTTCTCATTTTCCTGCCACTTCACAATTATGTGCCACTTTGTGTTGGTCTGTAACAATAAATCCCAATAAAATACATTTACATTTTTGGTTGTAACATGACAAAATGTGGAAAATTTCAAGGGGTATGAATACTTTTTCAAGGCACTGTACATTTTATAATTTCATTATTTCTGAGTATACTGTTAACAACTGTCAGCAAAGGCTTTATTTCAGTATATATGTATTCCCATTTAGAAACACATCGTACCGCTGATTAAGTTACAAAAGAGCTGGACATTTATATCTGCTTATATTCCTGCACATGGAGTTGTACTCTGTTGCATTTACCTCCTATTAAACATTCATCTTGGGCAAAACAGAAGTGCTGCTAAAAACCTGCTATTGTGGGAATGGAATGAATGAGACTGAATTAATCAGCACAACTGCTATTATGTCAATTGTCTTGGAGTTGAAAAATACAGCAGATTTCAGCAAAATGTGAGATCAAGGCAGGAAAAAAAAAATCCCCGATCAAAAATATGAATATATATACAAAAACACATCCAGGAGTTATTTATAAACCATATTCCTTCTTCTTGTTCTCAGGGAGCATCTTCCCCAGCTGCCTGTGTTTTTTTTCTCATGTATAGTTTACTTGTTAATTAGTTTTTCATTTTATTTGTTTTACTGTGTAGGAAATGGGATTATGCAGAGTTAGTTCCTGGATGGTGCAGCCACAGATTGACATATGAGGTGAGAGACATTTAGTAGAAAGACTTTACAGTGTTTATATGAAATCATAGGCATAATCAGGCCTGTTCAAACACAAAAGGAAATTATTTTCTTAACTTCCAAAAAAAGAAAATTGCAGTCCACCCAAATCATGTTTCATTGCCTGTTGACCTCTTACAATTCCTATGTATTCCAATCACTATTAACGCTCATGTACACGGGGTTTTTAAAAAACTCTTCTGACAGCTGGAAACTGACTGCTATAAAACGTAGATAACCTCAGGAGACTCTCCCGAATGCCCAGAATGCACTGAAAAATATTAAATCCACTAAAAAAGGCTACTAAAATACAGCATTAGTTATTTTATCAAGTCATGCTGTATTTTAGTAGTGAAAAGCATGCGTTGATGTTTCATCTGTCAGCGGGATTCCCCACTGACAAATGAATGTAAAAGAAAGAATTGCCGGCAATGAAAAAATAATTTTAAAAAACCTTGTGGGGTCCCCCCTCCATCTATCCCAAGCCCTTCGAGTCTGGTATGGATATTGAGGGAAAGCCCCACGCCAACATTTTAAAAAAAAAATGGCGTGGGGGTCCCCCCAAAATCCATACCAAACCCTTGTCCGATCATGCAGCCTGGCAGGTCAGGAAAGGGGGGGCAAGCGAGTGCCCCCCCCTCCTGAACCATACCAGGCCACATGCCCTCAACATGGGGGGGTGCTTTGGGGTAGGGGGAGCTCCCCCCCAAAGCACCTTGTCCCCATGTTGATGGGGACAAGGGGCTCTTCCCCACAACCCTGGGTTGTGGTTGTGGGGGTGTACGGGCTTATCAGAATCTGGAAGCCCCCTTTAGCAAGGGGGCCCCCAGATCCCATGTGAATGAGTATGGGGTACATGGTACCACTACCCATTCACTAAAAAAAAAAAAGCTGTAGTGTGAAAAAAGACAGAGATTCTTTGACAAGTCCTTTATTAAAAGAAGGAAAATAAAAGACTGTCCCCGAAGTAGATCCAACGTCAATCATGATGCCTGCCGCCGCCGCCACTAGAAAAAGAGCAGAAGAAGGATCTGCTTCCGACGTTGGCTCCCGGCCGTCTGCCGCTACGCCAGTGTTTCTCAACTCCAGTCCTCATGGACCCCCAACAGGTCATGTTTTCAGGATTTCCCTCAGATGAAACAGCTGTGGTAATTACTAAGGCAGTGAAACTGATCAAATCACCTGTGCAAAATAATGGAAATCCTGAAAACATGACCTGTTGGGGGTCCATGAGGACTGGAGTTGAGAAACACTGCGCTACGCTGACTTGACAGTTCTTAAATATGTAAAGGGGGGGCTTCCAGATTCTGATAAGCTCCCCGCCCGCAGACCCCCCACAACCACAGCCCAGGATTGTGGGAAACAGGCCCTTGGTCCCAATCAACATGGGGGCACAGGAGTTGCTGGTGTCCGGGGTGCAGTGCAGATGCGTACACCCCCACTGGATGATCTCCCTGCAAGTGAGTGAGGTGGAGCCTCATATAGTGTGGGGGGAGGAGAGGAGAGGGATGAAAGTGGGATGTGGATGGGGGATGTAGAGGTAAGCAGCCGTGGAAGAAGGCTGCACTCTTCACTCTGTGCACCCTCTGCACTCTTCACTCTGCGCACCCCTGAACTCTGCACTCTGTATTGCCCCTTTGAGACCCTCCTACTGTTGATGAAATTTGACTACACCCACTATTTAATATGATTTGAAGTGTGTGTGTGTGTGTGTGTGTGTGTGTGTGTAGGGGGGGGGTTCGTTGTTGAGTTCCTGCACCAATTTATGAGAAAAAAAAGCCCTGCTTGAAAGTACAGCAACCCATAACAACCAAAGAGTCAGTATCTGTCAGAGGTCTGATTTCAATAAAAAGACATTGGTTACATTGATAGGGGTTGCTGCATTTGCTGTTTGCACTGCATTATTAAATAATCTCATGATGTTCCCTTATCTACTTTTCTAATTCCTCCTTAATTAACTCTTCCATGGATTAGCTGTCTTCATACAAACCCATGCTTACAAAAATGTCGAGTAGACAAGGCTGTTTTTTTTCCCTATATTTTGCTCTAATTTTTGAAAATTTATGTGAACTGCATTTTATGGGCCATAATGAACTGTGTCATGTCAATGCTCTACTGTTTTGAAGGTGTTATAACCGCTTGTGCATTAGACACTTTTCTCTGCCTTAACACCTATTTATATGTGGAGGAGCAGTTCACTGAGCTGAGAAACTTTGCTGTGTACAGTTAATGATGCTCTGAGAGCTTCCAGTTTGTTCCAACAATACCCATATCCCTTGCTTTCGATAACAAATACAAAAGACTCTTCAGTGTTAGCGGAATGCAGCTAGAGGTAATTAATGGCACTGCAGTTCACATTTACACATGCGTGTGGCAATACAGCTCTGAAATTTTGTTTAATGGAAATTCTAGTTTATAACTTATTGTCATACCGTATATCAAACCTATCGCTGCATAATAGATATGCTGTAAGTAAATCAGAAGCTTTTTCATTTTGTATAGAGTATGGAAGTGTTAAAGGAAATCTATGGTCACAACATACACTTTCATGTTATAACATCAGCATTGTAATAGTAATACAAACAATAGTTATATTCGACAATCCAATATAAGCTTACTTGAAACATTCCCCTTCATGTTGTGAATGTTGTGCCTGTCTACTGGCGGTCTATTGCCACAACTTCCTGGATTACCTGCATGCTTTGCAGCTTCTCCTCTGATGTTACAGTGTTACTAAACCCATGACCCTGCATTCACTATATCCGGTCTTCCAAAGACAGTACACAGAACATGGAAATGCAATTATTTTAGTAAAGATTGTAAGCTCTAAGGAGCAGGGCCCTCTGAGGCTTCCTGTATCCTATTGTATTGTAAACGTACTGTTTGCCCTCACTTTGTAAACCGCTGTGCAAACTGTTGGCACTATATAAATTCCTGTATAATAATAATAATAATAATCATAATAAATATAAACTGCTAAATACCTTTTCTCATCAATAGTATATAGCAGTCTTGTGACTTCTATCAGTGTCTGGCCAAGCACTGGTTAATCTTGTAGAAGGAGTTTTCATTCTTCTCTGACTGTCCTATGAGGCTGCATGGCACCTGACTCTCTGTATGGACAGTGCTGACTGGTCCTGTTCCAATCACATGCACCCTCCCCCCCTCCAAAAAAAAAACCTCTCTAGAAATATACACCAAATAGAGCATGTGCACACTTGCCACTGCTGCTTTGTGCTATGGCTGATGGATTGGGGACAGTAAAAGAAGGGGAGGCTCGGAGAGGACAGGATCAAACAGCCTTTTTACACAATATGGAGAATTAATACCTTAGATTCCACAGTGAGTATAAACAAGCATGCTTTAATGCATATACAGACTATTTTTTACTGTTGCGGGTTTAGTAACACTTTCACTCTCAATTGCTAAGTACTACATATCCCATAGTAACTTGCTGCCTTCAAGCAATGCTTCCTGTACTGACATTCTTCCTGAAACTCCTCCTCTCAGCACCTCTGTAGTTCAGAAGGCAGGCTCAGGGAAATGAAAACAGCAGTGCCTACCCACAGGACATAGTGAATACATATCACATACTTCAAGGAAGTCATTCTGTGTGGGGATGTCCAAAGTAAATTTACAAACTTGAAGATTTTTCAGAGTAATAGGAGTAGGCTACTTTGCTTTTAAACATTTGCCAGGTTTTCATTGCTGTGTGTCACCACGGGGCAGTTATCCTTTCCCCTCTTTGTCCTGGCAACCATTTTCACTAAGAGAGAAAGTAATAGGAAATTCAAATATTTACAGTGGAAATCTTCCAATGGGGACACCTGTTCCAATGACAGCTGTTTCCATTCACTTCGAAAAGATTAGCAGTAACTTCCTGTTGTAGCTGGGCAAAATGAAGTGGGAGGAACATAGACAGCAAAAAGAATAAACTGACAGAGGTGCTAACTCTCCCCCACTCTATCAAAGCTTGGGATCTAAAGATAATTTAAGCACATACAAAGAAATAAATTAATTAATAGTGAGACATCCATCTGTTATTTTTCTCTTCCTTAAAGCTGACAACCTTTCTTCCTCAGGATAAGATATTCTAAACCAAGAAAGTCACTTATACCCAAAAATAGTATGTAAATAGATAATATCAGGATCATCAAGATAGACTGTGGGCAGTGAGCATAGAAGTCACCTGAATCTACTTGAGCTGTCTACCCAATGACAGACGTAGAGTGAACTATAAACACCTGAAGGGTGGCCCAGCTACGGTGAGAGATAGTATGACAATATGGGGTTGATTTACCAAAACTGGAGGGTGCAAAATCTGGTGCAGCTGTGCATGATAGCCAATCAGCTTCTAACTTCAGCTTGTTCAATTAAGCTTTGATAATAAAACGTGGAAGCTGACTGGTTTCTATGCAGAACTGCACCAGATTTTGCACTCCCCAGTTTTAATAAAATAACCCCTTTGCATTTTAGGTTTCAATTCAATAAATATTGAGAGGAAAGAGAAAACCTTTTAAATAGTTCCAATCCAGTGCAGTGTGTTAAGGTTTAAATAAACTACTTTTTACATTCATTCATGTTTTGGTTGCAAAGGTGTCCAAGCTGTTTATATACACTTCACATTGAGATCTTTAGTTCAGATATTCCATCCATTGATATACCGTGTTTTCGGCCAGCTGCTGACATAACTCACTCTACAAATCCATTCCTTCCCTGCAAGCCCACTGCTAAACCTGCAAAGCCTGCAAAAGAGGTGGAGGGAACTCGTGGGAGGGGGCTGGGGATTTAACTCCCCATTCAGGGGATCAAATTACAAACAGATACCCTGCGGGATTTTCCTTTTTCAGATCATCTGTAGACTACTGAGGCATGGGATTGACTCAAAATCATACTCAGTTGCCTGATATAGCTGTCACTGTAACATCTGAAAATTATTAATCAAGTACAGTAGAGTACATGTTATACCGCTGAGCATTAACGCAGAGAACAGGTTTACAGAAATAACACGTACCCAGCCCACAGCTGATATAAATATTGGGAGATGGCTAGTACTATATTGCTCCAAAGATTAGTGCTCAACAGGGAACTCATAAAAATGTAATGGAATCTAGGTTTTCAGCAATATAGACAATATAGAGAGGGCAAGACCTTGGTCATATTCCAGAGAAAAGTCTGTTAGCAACAGAAGTAATATAGCAAGAGTTGGTAATGTCAGCATGGTCACAGATGGCTTGGATGAGGCCATGAGTGGTGGGATGTGGCAAGAGTGAACAGAACACTTGGACCTTCTGAATTCTTTTGCCCCCCCCGATGTTATGCTCAAAGTGATGAAGATCACCCATTACAAGTCCTATGGATTGTTGGATAAACATAGGGACCTAGAGGAGAACACAGGGGTAGTTTTATTGCCTTCTCTGACTCTGCTTCTTGTTACTGGTATTACCACTTTTAGAACTATAGGTTCCAAGCTAGTTCATACATAGGTTATAAAAAAGATGCGTGCACTGACTTTCACCAAATAAGAATTCTTACACCTTCAAAGCCCCAGCTGAAGATTCTGGCTCTACTTATATTAGCATCAAATTGGGCATTCAACACTCAAGTGCTCCCTGACTTTTAGTAACAAATATCAGTTCACAAAACTACTTTATGGATTGGGCACTGATGGATTGTCTGCATTCCACATTTATGTATGTACAGTTGTGCTCAAACGTTAGCATACCCTGGCAGAAATCGTGAAATTTTGGCATTGATATTGAAAATATTAGTTATTTATTTCAGGTATTTATATAGCACCATCCAGTTACTCAG